CGCCCCATCTATCTATCTATCTATCTATCTATCTATCAATCTACCTATCTATCCCCTTGCATACAGAGGTTCCCAGTGCTGAGGGCTGGGACAGAACCTTTACCCGAGTGAGGTGTGATGGTTCCTTCCCACTATCTGCCCCCCGCAGCAGGGACTCCTAATCTGAACATCCTGCCCTCCTCTCCCGCTCATTCCCCTGACCTGGGGTGTTGGTGCCTGTCTTGTTCTGGGCCATCTTCTGTCCAAACCAGGCCCGCAGCCAGTGCCCAAGCCCCCCAATCAGGCCAAAGACCCTGGCCCCAATCCCAATGGCCACTGCTTCCTCCAGCCCCACTAGAGCTGCACCCGCCCTGATGCCTACTCCGATACCCGCACCCACCACTGCCAGAACCCCGTCCCCCCCCGCCCAATGTACAGGCCCAACCACTCGGCCTTCTTCACTTTAAAGCGCTGTTCATATCGCGGCAGGAACTCCGCCATCTGCTTGTCCAGCTCCTTCTTCAGCTCCTCCAGGGCCGCCTGTTTCTGGGGGTCCTCGCCCCGCAGCTCCCCCCGGCAGCGCTCCAGCAGCTCCTGGCGTTTCCCCTCCAGGCGTCGCTGCATCTCCACGGGCTTCACCCTCAGGCAGCTGCTCATGCTCTGGTGGTCACGGTCCTGCCGGGATGGGGGAGTGATCGGCCATTAGGGACGAGCACTAGCGTTACCCAGCCACAGGGGGCGCCGCCTCCTCACACACCCGCAGCCCCCTCACTCCCAATCCGCAGCCCCTCTGCACTCACCAGCTCCTGCACAAATTGCTCATATTCCCTCCTGGTGGCTTCTACTGCTCTCCTGTTTAACTCCTGTCTCATCACTGCAAACGCCTCAGCCATCTGTCTGGGGAGAGGGAACGGGATTGGGGGTGCAGATGGGATGGGCCCATCTCTGAACTGGGAGCCCCCCCACAGTCACCACCTTCCCCACATTTGTACAGGACCTGCTCCTCGCGATCACCTCAGAACTGGTCCCCAACGCCCCACATTTCAATAGAGCCAGAGGGCAGCACCTCGACCCCACAGCCATGACCCCAGTGGAGGGGCTGGTTCTCTGGCAGGGCTTCCTGCAGGTCCCCTTATCGCTTGGGTGCTAGGAGTCCTCGATCAGGACATTTGGTGGAGCTGTTGTGGTGCCCCCTTCTGGGCTAGTGTGATTGGCCAATGTCAGGAGGACCGGGGTTGGGGTCAATGGAACCAGTCCCCCCCCCCCGCCCCAAATCCAGGCTGGAAAGAGAGAGGCGGAGGGAGGGGTGACCTGGTACCTTCATGGGTGAGGAGAAGTCGTAGCGTTGGGTCTTCCGATATCGGGAGACGCCCTGCAGGGAATAACGCCCGGGGGAACTGGGATCAGGGACAGCTCAGGCCCTTTCCCCCCGCTGAGCCCCTTCCCGCTCCCTGCAGCCCAGCGCCCCCTACTGAGCACCCTGCCCCGCTCCCTGCAGAATGGCACCCCGTA